AAAAATACTTTGATTTTCAACCAATCAAGTAAGTAAAAGAAAGGTGTGATGTGCTCATCTCTCTTTACCCGAAAGACGTATCTGACGTAGGCATTGCAGGCTCTTTGCAGTCTTAAATTGTGTTCACTGGTGATATCCGTTAAGACAGTACAGTAATAGTCGAACACCGGAAAGATCAATGCTGCGACTAATCGTGCACGAAGAGGCTGAGGAAATAGATGACCACAAAGCTTAAGTTGATATCGCGCTGCATTTACCTTAGCACAAGTTTTGCTGACTTGATTGTTCCAAGATAGTGTTCGAGATATAGTGAACCCTAAGTACACCACGGACTCCTTATATGCAATCGGGACATTATGCATCACAATCCGAGGAAGGTCACCAAATACAATATTGTTTATGAATCTGGCGGTACCAAGAATCATAGCCGTAGTTTCGCTGGCATTTAGCGACAGATGATTGTTGGTTGCCCAGTTTGCAACATTATTAATATCCTCATTGACCTTCAGTATAGATCTTTTGGCTCAGCATGAAGATCGTCCGCGTAGAAATTATATTTGCAATGCCTTAGTACTTCGCCGAAGTCAGACAGGTATAAAACAAAAAGTAGTGGTCCAAGCACAGAGCCCTGAGGCACTCCCTTAGTCATCGTCTTCTCAGAGGAGATTTCACCCGAGACCGGATCACGTACCGCCTGTCTTCTTCGATTCAGGTAGGCACACAGCCATCTCAGTGACGCGCAGGAGAAGTGTAATTGTTTCATCTTACGGATCAATAAAATGTGATTAACGTTATCAAAGGCCTAAGTGAAGTCAAAAAATACTGCAACAGTTATTCTTCTAGAATCAGCTGCTAAACGTATATCATCCATGATTTTTATTAATGCCGTTTGCGTGGAGTGACCTTTTCTGTATGGCGGAGAGGAGAGGAAGAGTTGGGGAGGGGCGGAAAGGGCGAAAGGGGGAAGGGTTTTGGAGGGAGGGGGAGGTCATTGAAAATATGAGAAGTTCGTTTTAAGACTAATTTCGATTATTTACAATGAAAACGTGAAATTGTTTATTGTAAACATATTGCAGAATCGTATGCATAGGTTCTCAGTAGGAGAAATCGAAAGAATTGAATTTCATCGATTACAGCGCCATCTGTCATGAATCGAAAAAAATGTTTTAGACAAACCCTACGTCCTTTTAGCCATAGAATCCGAATCTGCAATAAAAAATAAAGGTTTCCATTTAAGATTTCAAAGTTGCCTTCCCTCCCCCCCAGGAGGTGGGGGGTGGGGACGAATTTTAACACTAATGTATTTCCCCAGCGGAAGGATTAAATTTTGATTATCAACATTTTCTTCGTTCAGTGCTTATTTTTCGAGATATTTCAAAGTTTCAGGTTAAAAAACTCAGCCTGTATGTTGTTACGTCCTGGCGACTCCACGATTCCTTCCTTCCGCGAAGTTGCGGCAATGATAATCGATCGGTGATAAAAATGAGTCGTTCGGTAAAAAGAGCATCTTGCACCACACATTCCTTAAACATTTAGTCACTTGTCAATATCTATATCTATGAGTAACCGTGGGAAAGACGCGAGAGACCGGTGACGAAACCGCGCCGGTCGCCTAAAAATAAATAAAAATCAGTAGATACCCTCGCAATAGAATTTTCCAGCGGAAGAACAAATTGATACCGAAAAGATAATAAACTTCCTTTTAACGAAATATCTGACAAATACAACTAAATCAATAATGACAAAACTTCTGTGACGACATATTCAGTAACTACAGCTGCACTAATATTGATAAAAATAATCATAAGGAAGTAAGATTTTTTCTAATCAGATCATGCGTAAGGGAAATCTAGAGCTCAAGGGATTCTGAACTGATCACCAATCGACGATCACCACGAGTGAAAATTCGAAAAGTAGAAGAAACCCGCCTAATGAGGACACTGGCACAATTTTTAATTCGTTGAAGTTTTGGAAGATTCCACTCTTAGAAATTAGAATACGCCCCGAAATGAGAGATATAAAAAGAGGACTCGAAGGGATATACAGCGTCGCACAATTTCGAAGAAGCCCTCCAGGACTTCGTAGAAGAGTGTTCCGATCTCAAAGAGGAACCGGAAGATTTTAAACCGGAAACTTCCGATCCCGAAGGAGAGTCGGAGTCTTTTTTCGAAGACCAGGATAGGGAAGGTTGGTACCGGTACCTCCTAAGTCAATTTCCTTCTTATCCTGTCTCTCTTACGGACGAGGATTATCGCGTCGGTCCAGATATAGTGGACCTCGATCAATTCCATTATATCCTTCGTACCAGTCCACCCGGTTCAATTATCCCATTTTTTGTCCCAAGTTGCCCCTTTCCTTTAGCCGTCCCTATCGAGGTTTTCTGGATGAAGTTCCTTTCTCCCTCCACGGCGCAACTCCAAGACCTTTAATAGTCCTCTTCCCATTTTCTCCCTACCGTCCAACTTTTATTTTTCTAATAATTTATTTCAACTAATTTTTCTAATAAAATTATTTATTGTAAATTTCTAACCGGAATTTAAATTTTAGTTTCCCCGTTTAATTCCGGTTGATGTCCTCCGCATTAATGTATCACCCGCGAAAAGAACATCTCTCGCTCACATACACACACGCACATACACATTAGAATTTAAGTAAATGTATTTTATAAATAAGATTTCGTAAATCGAATTAAATGTTCCTTTATTAAATTTGATCTTTTTTTTTAAATCATTTATTTTAATTTTCTTGAATAAATGTAACATTAAATTTTAAATTCGAGTAATTCATTAACCCGACCTCCTTCTTGTTATCCGAAATCGCGCAAGGTCCCGTCCCGAGTAATAAGGATTCAGTTCCTTTACCAGAAAAGGGACCGCCGAGCGAACGGCCTTTCGATAGAGTAAGAGCGACCCTTCCGGTCGTTGACCTATCTGGGGCCCTGGGGCCATATTCTTGAAAAATATCGCATACGATATTTATCATTGCGCAGTTATTTTCCGATACGTTTTAGTTGCGCAATGACAAATATCGTATGCGATATTTTTCAAGAATGTGGCCCCTGGTCTGTTCGTTTGACTCTAGGACACGCATCGTCTAGCGTTTGTCTAGAGGTAAGTAGATTACGCCCTCCCGCTGACTCTTCCTTTATTTGAGTCTGGACAGCATTAATTATAATATTTCATAGAAATTCTGTGAAAGAGAGAGGGGGAGAGAGAAAGAGAGAGAGAGGGAGAGGGAGAGAAAGAGAGAGAGAGAGAGAGGAGCCTTACAAAGTGAATAATAAAATTTAATAATAACAGAAGCAGAGCTGATAAAACGCTAAAAATTTAAGAAATTTACATATATCTTTTAGACTGTAAATTAAAAAAAGCTTATAAATAAATTTAAAAAAATAAAAATTACTAAAAAATAATAAGAAAGATATAAAAAGATAAATTTTTCTATGTGAAATTTTGAGCTAAGCCTGAAGATTGAATGAAGATTAAAAAAATCAATATCTAACACTGCATAGTTAATTCTCAAATCAAACATTATGATATTATAATTAATTGCTAATGAACTGTTGATTCCGGTTCTGCGATAAATTTTTTTTTTTGTACATTGCAACATTAGAGTTCAGTCGATGGGACTGAAGAATTCTTGCGAACAAGAAATTGTCATAAGAAAGATTTGTCGGTGGGGACGAATCTTTCTCGTGACATATTCTTTATTCACAAGAACTCAATTTTTCTGCATAGGCATTTCTCCTGACGTAGTGATGCACATCGAAGTACTCGACGATGTTGAATTTGTTGCGCATCAATCTTGTGGAAACAATCCGCAACCGAATCGTTTCAATAACATACGCTTGATATTCTTTTTCCACACAAAGATAATAAAGATGCAGAGATTCTGCATAGTATCCATCAAATAAATAACATACATGTAATAATATGATGTTTCAGACAATAAGTACACTGTGTTCATGGACCAACTTATTCCCATTATGATAAAATGCAGGATAAATAGCTTCAGATACAGACTAAACCTGCAAACAAACATGTATATATACATATACTTATATATGTATATATAAAACAACAATTATAAATACTGTTAATCGAGTTATCTTTAAAAATAACGGAATAAATTACAATCTTGAGAAAAAAGAAAGAGATAGTTATAAATTCTTTAAAGAAATTTTCAAAAAATGTGATTTCCTTTATGAAATAAATTTACATTTTCATTAATTTTATTCTCACTATTCGCAACAATTCGAGAATTGCAGATTTTCTCAAAACAACACGTACACGATTGAAGTAGCACTAATACACTATTAAAAAAAAATAGGGAACATTTTTCATACTCTAAAAATTGAACTATCTTCAAACCGTTGAAATTCGGCGAAAAATTATTATATTGTAGACAAAAAATTTTAAAAACATTTTAAAATTTTAAGATTTTGCGGACAGTTAAGACAGTTAAGATGATAGTACGTCAGTTTCATAGAAAATAATTCTTCTATGGAACTACCGCCTTCATCTCTCCAGAGGGATAAAAGGAAGTTAATATAAAATCTCGATTTGAGATTAATTTTCACTTTATATAGGACCAGATAAATATCCGTGCCCTGTGCACAGTAATCAGTCCCATAAAAGAATTATTTTCTATGAAACTGGCGCACTATCGTCCGCGTTTGGCTCTTAATTGCCCACGAAATCTTAAAATTGTGAATTTCACTATAGAGTCTTATTAATTTCTTAATTTAAACATTTCAAAACTTGAAGTTTTAACTATAACGCTTTATCAGCAGTTTTAAAAATTTATTATATTTTCTGTGCTTTAAAAAAGAACACATTGTTTTATTTCTTAAAATTACGTATGTTTGATATTCTACAATTCGATAAAAAAATGTCTCTCGAGAGATTTAAATCAAGTTCTATGTATAAAAGACAACATTTTGACTATAAGGTACCTTTTTCATATTTGTCTTTTTTTGTTTCGTTTTTTTTTTTATCAAATTAGACTTTGAAAGAAAGTGTATTTTTTAGAAATGTTGTCGATACTCAGTAAAAAGATATTGCAGACAAAAAATTACAAAAGCATTTTAAAGTTTAAAGTTTCAACTTTAACGTGATATCAATAATATGTGACAATTTTTTACCTTTCTAATTTGTAAAAATACAGGTTTTATTACAAAATCGTGTAACTCTGCTAGAAAAAATCGTAGAAAAATTTTAAAAAAGCGTTTTGTAGACAAAATATTGTGGTTTATGGAACTTGGCTTAAATATTTGTAGAAAAATTTTTGAAGCTACAGGGTATGTAATTTTTCAAAAATATGTAATTTTTAGCGGTAAATGTTCGGATTAACTTATACATTACGGATTGTTTTCATTTTTACATATATTGTAGAAAGTACATTCCTAAGTAAGTAATACTCGCTTTGAATTTTGTGGCGCTCTCTTCTCGTTCCAAAGATATGTGATTTTGAAATATTGTAAAAATAACATTTTAAGAGAATGGGATTTAGCCTCAATCTTGCCCATGACCTATAGTTCAACTTTTTTATAAAGTAAACGCGTGGGCGGAGGCCTATCCCCTTGTACAGCCACCCCAAAAAATCTAACCTAACCCAACTTATGACAGTGGGGTGAATTTTTATTATTTTAAGAAATAATTTATCCCTGGGACATAGGTTAGGTTAGGTTAGATTTTTTTGGAGTGGGGTTGCAGGGGAAGGGGCGGAACCCCTCCCCCACCCACGCGTTTATTTAAAGATTTACTTGTTATTTTAATATATAATAATAAATATTTTTTTTAAATTGAAGTATTCAGGTAAAATAAGAAAAATATTGCAAAACAAAGCAGTATACAATAGTTTATACCTTATTAAATCATATTGACAACTAAATATAAATAAAACGAAATTCTTAGCGAAAGTAAACAGTAATTCAAAAACGTACTGACAATGACGCAATAACGAGCAAATGTTAACAAAAAAATATAAACACGCAAGTAAGATGTAACGAAAAGATGATGCAAGTAAATATGAAAATTATGATACTTCAAAATCGCATATCTCTGAAACCAGAAGAGAGCGCCACAAAATTCTAAGCGTTACTTCTATGTACCTTCTACAATATATGTAAAAATGAAAATGATACGTGATGTGTAAATTCCGAACATTTACCTTTTTAACAACAAAACAATATGCTCTTTTTTAAAGCACAGAATAAGGAAGATACAAAAATTCTGAAAAATTATCGGTAATGCGTTAAAGTTAAAGAAACTTCAAGCTTCAAAATGCTTTCTTAATTTTTTTGTTTACAATAATGTTTTGCCAAATTAACGGTTTGAAAATAGCCCAACTTTTAGCTTATGGAAAATGTTTTCCATTTTTTGGGATAGTATATCTTTTTTAAAGATTATGTAAGTGAAAAAAATAAGAAAAAAAATAAGCACACAAAGAAGATGTTGCCTACAAATAATCATCTCTTTCTTCTATCAGGAATGCAAATTCATCGATTATATAATACTGTTGGCTGAGATGTTGGAAAAAATATATCGGCAAAAATATCATTGATAGATTATCAAATATCGCTACAAAAACGTTTAAATACAGACCATTTCCTATTGTCATTAAATCTCTTGCTTTCCGAATTTGTTAAACGATTGCTTATTTCTTTTTTGTAGCGCGCAATCTTCAATGACGTAGAGATGGATAAGCAAATGCTACTAACAGTGCAAATACTTTTGAACCCGTAAAAATATAATGCAAAAGCTCCGTCTCCTGTAAATATGAAATATAAAAAATTTTTATATTATTTCTTTCATAGTGTATTAAAATACGGCGTTAATAGATTTATCGGCTGTTCTTCCAAATGGGGCACACCTGCGATGGGACCCAACCTTTTCAGGTAACTTCAAGAGATCATATTAAGGTCAGCTATCAAGGTCGTAACCATGACTTTTCAATAATTCAGAAGTTATAAACAAAAATATCACTAAAAATCGTTAAAATCGATTTAAGAACATCAAGCCTCAATGATCTTGATTTTGATATATGTTGCCGAGGTTACTATTAATTTATTCATTTATTTACTCAATTATTCATGTTTAGTTAATCGAACATGTGTGGAGCGAGATTCAACTCAAACTTATGTCTAGTTTTTTGGTAGTGGAGGCCCCCGCAGGGGGGCGGAACACACTGCCTTCACGCGTACACTTTTTAATGCGAAGTGAGGTTCCACATGGGTTTGCAACTTTCGACGCGAAGCGAGGTTTAACCCAAACCTATGTGTCTAGTTTTTTGGTAGTGGAGCCCCCCGCAGGTGGGTGGAACATACTGCCTGTACGCGTACACTTTTTAATGCGAAGTGAGGTTCCACATGGATTTTCAACTTTTGATGCAAAGCGAGGTTTAACTCGAACCTATGTGTCTAGTGTTTTGGTAGTAAAGCCCCTCGTAGAAGGGCGGAACACACTGCCTCCACGTGTACACTTTTTAATGCGAAGTAAGGTTCCACATAGGTTTGCAACTTTCGACGCGAAGCGAGGTTTAACCCAAACCTATGTGTCTAGTTTTTTGGTAGTGGGACCCCTCGCAGTGGGGCGGAACACACTTCCTCCACGCGTACACTTTTTAATGCGAAGTGAGGTTCCACATGGGTTTGCAACTTTCGACGCGAAGCGAGGTTTAACCCAAACCTATGTGTCTAGTTTTTTGGTAGTGGGACCCCTCGCAGTGGGGCGGAACACACTTCCTCCACGCGTACACTTTTTAATGCGAAGTGAGGTTCCACATGGGTTTGCAATTCCAAGAAAAAGTAAAAAAAAAAAGTAAAGAATTTTTTTCAAAGATTAAGAATTGCAGTTTTTTATGAATAATTTTTTGTTTATAGCTTTTTCGTAAACAATGAGCAACGGTTAAAACTTTTTGAATGTTACTCAGAACATAGTAATCTTGAGAACATATGTCAAGGTCAAGATCATTGAGGCTTAATCTTCTTATATCGATTTTAACGATTTTTAGTGATATTTTTGTTTATAACTTTTGAATTATTGAAAAGCCACGGTTACGACCTTGATAGCTGACCTTAATATGATCTCTTGAAGTTACCTGAAAAGGTTGGGCCCCATCGGAGGTGTACCCTATTTGGAAGAACATCTAAATTATCTGTAGAAACGTCCATTTACCAGCGAACCAACAACCTATGCGAAATTTTGGTCGCAAAATCTCCGGCAAATATCCGGGAACAAAATCCATAATGACAGTGATAATAGCGAAGATACAGGATAAACCCCAGGCAAAGATTGTATAAAACACCAGCTTTCTTTTTTCTCGTTTTCTGACGTTTCCTTGTAACGAAGAGAATCCTCTACAAAACGTAATTTACACGTCATATTTAACCAAAAATAGATTTTTAAAAAATCACAATATAAATGCATGTCAAAATAATGTTTGCTTTTGATCAAAACTTTCTCGAAAAAGTCCGTGTTCTATAAAAATAAATTAACATAATACTACGAACCACATGACTAGACTATCATAAAAAATGGTTAATATTTGTATAACATTGAGAAACTATCATATATTTATATGTATATACCATTAAGTATACAGACACGACAAAATCTAAATTTTAATTTAGTTGTACGAGATAAATTTTTGATAAAAAAAATTAAAAATCAGTTATTGTTCAAAAGTTATCGTGTATTGCCTTAGTGTTATACATGAAAGAGAAAAAAGATGAAATATTAGGTTTATAAAATGTTCAAAAAAGTTTCATGGAAAGTCAATAATAACAGCAATAGGCGCAGAGTACAAAACTATTAACAATAAGTAGGAATACTGGTAGATAAGAGCCAGGGCGTGGATATTGGTGCGCAAACTTATTATTGTGAAATTTTATTAACAAATATGCATTAGAAATGTACATTAGAAATGTGCATTAGAAATGTTTTGGACTCTTTTCGGTCCATCTTTAGCATGGGTATACAAATGTAAAAATTAAATTGGAATTTTAAAATTTGATATGCACAACATTTGTTGTCGCAGTCAAATTTCAAAGGTCGTCATTATATTGTAAATCATCGACGGTATACGTATGGCAATGGTGTTTGGACGTTGTCCACTAATACAAATTCTATGCAAGTCTTCGTGAGCCTTCCTTTTGATTATTAATTTTAATTTGAAATTTGACTGCAACAAATCTTGTGCATGTCAAATTTTACAACTCTACTTTAATTTCTACATTTTTATACCCATGTTAAAGATAGAGCAAAAAACGGTGCGAAATGTACATTTTTAATGTACACATTTGTTCATAAAATTTAACAATAAAAAGTTCGCGCAACAATACCCTCGCCTTGGCTTTTATCTGCCAGTATCCCTACTTAATAGTTTTCAGGGGAAGTTTATTACGTTATATATATATCGTAAATTATTATAGATCAGATAATTATATTTTACAAATATTTCATAATGTTCATTAACTAACCCAGACAGCACAAAACGTCCTCAGGATCATCCTGAATATGTCCAGGATGGTTCAGGATATTTGTAGGATGTTTTAAGATATTATTATAAATATATTTTATGAAAATTTAATATGCATACATGATTACTTTCGGTTATGTAGGCTATTTAATATAATTTAGAAATTTTAAGTATTGTAATAAGTATTAATGTCCTATAAATGTCCCCTGGATAACCCCTGGATGTCTGTAGGATATCTGCCCTGTCTATTATATTGGATGTCCTTTGGATTTCCAGAGGATATATACATGTGCAATTAATTGTTAACATTAATTTCGTTTAATATTAATAATTGAATTTGTTGCGCACATTTTCATATATTCAAAATTATTATTTATTTAATATTTCATGAGAAATGTTACTATGCGCAACATTCCAAAAACTTTACAAAAAATAGTATTCAACCGCTAGTTCGTTTGTTTACCGCTATGCGACGCGCGAACTCGTATTTGAGATTTGGTCATGAGAATTATATAAAGCTTGCAAAGAGCAACTAACAGGAAATTAAAAATATAATTATTTTTTATCAGTTCAATTTCTGATGCAATCTTAACATAGGGAATTCAGATATTGGATTGTTTTGAAATTATTACACGACTCAAACCCGGAAGCCAAACCTAAAATATTCATGTACAGCACGAAAACGTCAAATTTTAAAGAACGTGAACTATTTTTAGTATTAGATTTTTAGTATTGGCAGTAAATAACAGATCGCAATCTTAATTTATATTTAAGTTTTAGAATTTGTTCCTTTTAACGTATGAAAAATATCCCTAACATATCCTATAGAAATCCTTAAGATGTTCCACAGGATCTCCCTGGATTCTCCAGAGGCTAGTGTACGGCTATCATTTACTCTTCCTCAGGACATCCAGAGGAGATCCGAGGATTAAAATAGGATATCCTCAGGATATCCTACATGTATGTCCTGGATGCCCTTTGGACGTCCTAAGGACATCCTTGTGCTGTCTGGGAATATACCATTTTTACTTTCAAAAATTTATATGGTTTTTATAAAATAAAAACTATATAATCGTTTAAAAACCTTCATGCAATAATAGAGATTTTCCAAAAAAACAGTTTATTTGAAATCATAAGTATTATGTTTATACTCTAAACTTATAGTATCATAAGCCAAATAGTTGCTTATATTGTCATACAACATTAACACGAAAAAAAATTCCGATTTATTAATTCAAAGTATCATTTCCCGTTTTTTGTCTTTACGTTGCCCACAGTATTGTATATAACATAAAATACAATTATATATATTACAGAAAATTATTTCATCATATCGTGTTGTACAATACATATGAATCACTCATATAAAAGTAAGTTAAGATGAGGCAAGTTAAAAATAAAGTATGATATATAAAATATTTTACAACTTACCTAAATGTCCACCACATGTCAAAACTCATTATACTTAGCCAGAAAAAGCTTGCCAAATAACAAAAATAGATAAAAAAAGCTAAAAATAAAATAAATAACATGTTAATCATTGAGCGCGCATTAAAAGCAAATGGAAGACTTATAGTTACTACCATGTTTCTTCGTTTAAAGATAAATTTAGTCTAACTATTGTATTTGCACTAAAATTTTATAGCAAAGATGATATATTTTATAAATATGTGCTGATAAAAAATTAAGTAAGACGTCGATGCAAAATATAACTCTGCAGAAAATCAAAAACACAAAAAATATATTTATTCAGACAAATTTAGATTAGTTATATGTTAAAATGCATCAAAAATTTATTATTTATTAAATTTTACTATTAAATCTTGCATTTTTAACAAAACATGTATTCAAGTTATTAAAAAGTAATACGCGAATGCATATATGCAATACATTAGTATGCCTGAAAAATATATACGTTATAATGATGATAGTTATATAATTTAAATATACTGTACCAAATGTAATACAGACTGAATAATGTATAGCATCCGCTTCGAAAGATATCTTCGAAAGAATATCCACAATGTCAATTGTGTATGCGATAGACAATGCACCGCTATAATTGCATAACATGAAGCCGTGTACGTTCCAGAGCTCTGGCAATATGGAATACACTAAAAACATTGGTACCAAAAGTGATATAGACACTATATTAGAGCTTATATTTATGATATCATCGTCAAAATGATACATGTCATCGTCTTCAATCGACGAGATGTCATCATGAGTTGTCGTATTAATGATCTCGTCAAAAATCTTTGAACAGGTAATCACTTCGTATTTATCCCCGTCTACGACGGCGAGACAATATGATGTCGATTTAGCAAATATTTCATAATAAGATAAATAGAGAGAACCATTGGCAAAAAACATGTAATCGTTCTCATTATTATCGGGAAACCGATAGCGATCTTCATCCTGACACGGATCGTAGACGACCAGCTGAAACAATTTGTCTACTGTCTTATTTTCGCTCTGCCACGAATCATTCGTGTATCCGTACACGTTCGGGAAGAAGTATTTATTTTCTTCAGAGAGGCATTCATCATCAATCAGACGATTGCCGAGAGGACAACATAGCTGAATGCAAGTAATATTGTAACACATCTCGTATGGAATGATGTTACTTATATTGCTATCTTTACTGGAGTTTTCATAGAACTCGTGTAATGTGGAATCGTTTTTGGCTTCAATTCTCATCAAGTTTTCATAAATTTCCTGTGACGCGAAATACTTTTTATGGTTGGCATTTGATGAATTTGTGCGAGGTTCCATAAGTATTTGCTTATCATCTTCATTCTGTATGGAGTGCGTATCGAGTTTAATCTGCATCGAGTCATCATCCTTACGATCGTTACTCATGGAAGTGGTGCGAGATTCATACTGCGTATCTTCGTACTGTGTATCATTATCAGACTTTTTGTACAAATCATTTCGTGGTGTTTTCGTATCGTCGTTATAGTTTGTCGTGAAATCCGCGTCTATCTCGTATCGTACTGTCAAATTATCATTTTTTTCTGTATTGTTAGTGAAATTTTGCTGAGATTTCGATGACGAAGCGACGAAGAGAAACAGCGCGCAATACCAAAATGCCAAATTTTTTCCACACATCGTTGACTTTTTGACGCGTCGAATTTATACCTGGAAAATACATATTTGATTTTTTTACAGTAATTTCATACTTAGATGTCCAATCGCGACAATACACGAACTGCGACTTGAGAAATGTACTAATATTGTTAGTGTACGATGGTTTAATCGTGACAATTCATTTTCCTAGTTTTCAAGATCGAAGAAGCTGCTTTCGAAGGATCTATTCTCGCGAATGCATGTCAGAGAGTGATTTGATGTCGATAAAACAGCACTTTTATAAAACAAGTTATGGAAGGATCAAAAACGGTGATGTGATAGGGACGATCGTTTAACTCTTTGAAAAAAAAATATAAGGGAAAGTTGGGTAAAACCGGGTAGGCGGGTCAAACAGGGTACCCCTGTTTTTTCGTAATAAATGCTGCTATCTGTGGCTAACTTGTGTTATTAGTTGTAGATTGACATCATCATTATTTTAAAACAAACCATGCCCTTGTGCACACGAAATCATCATTATTTTAAAACAAACCATGCCCTTGTGCACACGAAATTTTTTTTTAAATAGAAGTTCAAAGTTTTTAGCCCCAAAAAGATCGATATCGAGGCAAGAATCGAGTCGTCGTGTACATTTTCTATATAGAGCATCTGTTTCGGTAAGTGCAGCATTGCATTCTGTACATATTAGAGAGTATATCATATTAGTTTTGATCGGCACTTTGTACGCCAAAATATATAACCACCATATTTGTTACTTTTCTTGTGGTGGAGCAAAACCGGGTACTTACACATGTCATATAATGAAAAGAGGAAGAACTGTTATCCTGACTTTGTGTCTCTATAAAAAGCAGTTGAAAACGAAAACTAACGCTCAGAAAAAGAAATCACTAAAAAAAAGCTTTTTGAGACCCCTAAATTTAAAAAATTAAATAAGAATATCCTGCAATAATATAGAACAAGAGTATATCTTTATTCGTGATTTTTGTCAATAGAATACATCTTTGTATTGTATTTTGATTAAAATAAATCTAGATTTTGTAATTGCACGGTATTTTACATGTTTTCAAATGGGTACCCGGTTTTACCCTACCGGTAGGGCAAAACTGGATGTTTTGACTTCTCCAAAAAATCTTGTTATCCTTGGTAACCAAATTTTTTTTTTTCAGCAAGTAGCCTCATTTTCTCATAGTTCAAAGTCCACTAAAGACTAGTAACGGTCAACAAAATTTTTTTTACCCTCTGACTTTTTGTAGAAAAACAAATCCAAAGAAGTACCCGGTTTTACCCTACTTTCCTTTATATATATATATCATATATATATATATATAAAGGACAATAGAAATTTTGATTCGCATGAAAATATACTAACGCACATTATAAAAAACAAAACACCGTACATTAATATAAACGCATATATAAATGATATAATTAAATAAAAAATATGTTAGGTACGAAATGTAGATCTTTGAATTCATATATTCTATTCAAAAAGATTATTTATTGAAATTTTGTTCCGATATAAGATTATTTGCTATACCGCTTAATGAAGGACTTATTATTGAATAAAGTCGGGCCAAACAACGCCAACTTTTAGCCAGGCGCACTTCAGTGAGCCGCGCGCCTGCTAGTATGCGTGAGCGCTCCGCCGCTACGGCAGCGCGACGGCACTTTGCCTTCATGCACGCCGCTATCACAGTATAATATAGTAGTACAACTCCGCTTATTTTGTGAAGCCAAGCTGTCCACGGTCATGCGCGAGTTTGGGCAAGTGACGATAGCGCCCTCTGCACCATTACAGGTTCCTAAAAATATTGATACAGTTCTGGTGCAGAGGGCGCTATCGTCACTTGTCCAAACTCGCGCATGACCGTGGACAACTTTGCTTCACCAACATCAAAGGTGCCGACACAGAGTTGCGCTACTGTATTATACTGTGCCGCTAGCTAGAGTATGCAATATTCTTACGTATTGTAATAATAAAAAACGCGGTGCGTTCACGCACACTATCAGGCGCGCGGCTCATTGGCATGCGCCCGGCTAATGGTCGGCGCTGATTAGTCCGATTTTACTCAATAATAACTCCTTTATTAAGCATTACAGAAAAAAAACGCGCGCGCGCACACACACACGCACGCACACGCGCACACGCACACGCGCACACGCACACGCACACGCCCACGCACACGCCATGCACACGCACACGCACACACACATGCACACGCATACGCATACGCGCGTACGCACGCACACATATATATCGCTTTTGCTTGTGATAATCAAGGATTAGTCATTACGCCTAAAAAATATTTATTTTCCGCTCTTATACGTATCAATTTTTTTTAAACTTTCCATATATGTCCATTTTGATATACTCAACAATTTAGGAACTCTGAGAATTTAAGAACATACGGTAATTAAATAAACAAAACAATCGAGTTTATCGTTAGTGTCACATAGGTTTATCTCATGTTCGAAATTTTGAATAATTAAACAATTTTATGTTAAAATTATGCGCACGTACATTTGTTTTTATATTAGTTGCATGAAATAAATATAATTAAGTACAAGTATACAATTATGAAATAAGAAGAAATTATCTTTTTCCTTTTTTTCGGCAAAATCTCCTAAGATTAAACCGATTTTATTTTAGTACTGTTATCGTTGACGTTATTAGAGTCGATTTTAATTATCTTACTAGATTTAATAAAACTACTATTGCATCCGTTTTCAACTTCTCTTTTCGAATCGAACGAGAACAGAACGCGCAAAAAACATGTGCCCGCACAAACGAGAAGATGCGACTACCGAGGACGACGAGTGGTTAATAGTTTTAAGGAAACAGAGTCCACATATAAAACTTACATATACAAGGTAAAATTCCATTAGCAAACTTCTACACACGGTAGCTTGACCAAGCAATGGAATAAAGTAAACTGTTGACTGTTTCTCTCAGATATTTAATGCTTGAATGAAAAATGAAAAGCCATTATATTTTTAAGAATATGTAACGCGTCTGATTATTGGGACGCCGCAAAGACATGGTCCACTATTGAACGCGTTTCTATGGAGAACAAAGGAGAATCAGGGGAACAACGAGAGAAAGAGAGGACATAAATGGCAACAAGATAAACAGCGGGATTAATGGTGTTTAATAAATAATATTTAAGTGCATATTTGATCTGCTCCGATTGTATTAGGAAACGTGCTACATATACCACTAAAATGGAAAAGATATTGATACGCAGCAATGAATAACATAAATGTTTTTTAACTATACTAGTAACTACTACTTTATAAATTTATATTACATCAGATTTTAATTATTTAAATATTTAATTGAAAAACTTCTATTGGAAAGCAATTATAAATGATAACACATGCTTAAGTAAAATTTTACTTGTATCACTAACAAATTTATCAATTTTATTCGTTATCTTTAAACTATCAAAAAATACGTAATCAAAAGATGATATTATCTTGAATATATCAGAGAGGGAGAGAGAGAGAGAGAAAGAAAGAGAGAACTTATCGTTATTCGTCATAATTTGTATTCCGCTCCGCTCTGTATGGTGATGTCTGCCAATATAAAAACCAGTTTAGACGCAAAATTTTTGTTTTGAACATTTACATCATGACTATTTAATTGATTGCAAATTAAAAATAGCGATAGGTCAGATGGTGTTGATACGATTTAATTTCATACTCGATTCCGTTTTTCGACGAGAAGAAGACATATTCCACAAAAGATGCATTGAATTCCTCGCAATAAGATGAAACTAATATTAAAAATTATATCAAGAAAATATATATGATTTTTGCAGTATCAATCTCAAAAATAAGACAATATAAGACAATACAAATTATCTATTTTTTCTCTCGACATGATCTAGGTGACCATTAAGATTGTGTTGAAAGTAAATGGTTATTACTGCGCAACAAGTAAGCCGAATTAAATGAATCAAACGCCATTTTGTAGAGGAAACTTGTCAAATTTTATTACCAATATAAAACAAATATATAATATTTTAATAATTTAAATACACATTATTAAAAAAAGGGCAAAAATTTGCTTGCGCGTATGAGCTAATGGTAATATGTTTTCAAAATGTTTTTCATCGGAATCGGCATAAAATTGCAATTGTTTTTGAAAACTTTCAAATACGTTGTCCAATATGGCTGTACGAATCAATTCATCAATTGTTTCATCCGTTGAAGGGTACGAGATGGGCCGGGTAAATCATGTCTACGACCATTCAAAGTGCCATATATACTGAAATTATCAATAATCCTGTGAAAAAATTTCGCAAAATGAATAAAATCTCAGATCACCAACATAATGTGCACCAACATAAGGTTAGATTAGGTTATGGAGCGATTCCAGGGAGGAAGCATATCTTCTCAGTATAGTTTTGCTTGAAACTTTTTTAGATCCATATTTACTACGGAATCCACGATACGCCTCAATATAGTTTTTGTCTCTATTGTAGAAGCACTTGATAAAAAACACTTAGTGCATTCATTCTGACACTTGTAAACCGGCTTGTACAACGGCTCAGATAAAATTGACAGGTCTCAAGTACCGGAACCTAATCAGTTAAATGACCGCCGAAATTGAGGAGGGGAAATATAATCGTTTACTTTCAACACAATCCTAATGGTCATCCTGTAGAAAGATTGATCTGGTTTTACTCTGTTAACGATATTATGACCCATTTTAGTTATCTCACTAGATTCAGTAAAATTTTATCTACTACTGCATCCGGTTTCGATTTCTCTTTTCGATATGAACAAGAGAAAAATGCGCTAAAAATATATGTATGTGCCAGCATGAGTGAACAGATGAGACTACCGAGGACGACGAGTCGTCGATAGCTTTGAGCAGTCTATCTATTATAAAACTACGCATATATTAACTATTACATATATAAAGTAAACGAACAATTTCGTCGATAAACTTCTATAGACTCCACTAATCCAGCAAGGAAATAAAATAAACTCTTGACTGTGTTTTTAGATATTTAATG